CACTGAGCCACCTTCCCAGCCCCCCAATAACTTTAAAACTGTGTTTTGCACGGAGGCCAGCGGGGTTTTATTTGATGGGTTTTAGAATAACAGGCCTTGCTGGATTTTTTTTTTTTTAACTAAACCTCAACTTTCCCAGTATTGACGGCTGCTTCTGGAAAGCACCCAACAAAGCAAGCGTTCATAGTTGGGAGTTTCTGCAGACCCCCCCATGAACCACAAAAGTGTCTTCTTAAAAACACTGGCTGCCGATATATCAGAGAGCCTGGCTTTGAATGAACTCGAATCTAAGAGGAGCCTGAGGTTAATTACGCATCCTAAAAAGGGACGTAGCGTTAGAATTGTCAGAACTTGTGGAAAGTAGTAGATATGCAGGAAATCGAGTTCTTTTGTATGTGAAAGCATCACTGCTGATGACTGAGGGGATACATTTCATTTATGCAGATGTGCACACGTACAAGTAGCGTGAAGGAGAAAAACAGGACCGGGGTTGAGCATTTTTACACGCGCACACGGTGGATTTCTTTCTTCTAGGAGTGTAGATGTCACAGAATGTTAGATTTCGGGGGACGGTGGTTGGTGCTGGTCCTTGAACTCCGGGCATAGGTGCTGTCCAGGAGCTGCTTTTGCTCAAGGCCAGAGATTTACCACCTGAGCCACAACACCACTTCTGGATTTGGCTGGTAGGCTAGAGTTTACTAAAGAATCTCAAGCCAGCCAGGGCTGGCTTCGAACCAGGCTTCTCGGGTCTCAGCTTCGGAGGTAGCTGGGTTGACAGATGTGAGCCACGGGTACCCAGCAAGTTAGATTGATCTAGAATCCGGTGTGTGTGTGTGGGGGGGGGGAGTAGGAATGTTCTAGTTCTTCCGGAATGTTCTAGTTCTTCCACACAGTGGAGTGTGCCGGACTGTGAGCTAGCTCGGAGAAGGCAGGCTGGGTCCCCCTGCGTCCTCATGGCAGGGAGGAGTCCTACCCCAGACGGAGGCCGCGGGCAGGTGTATTTCTTTCATAAAAACGCGTCCCGGGGCCCCGGTGCTTCACGGTGGAGAAGTCCGCGTTCGCGGGAGTGTGTCCTTCAGCGCAGCCGAGTCTCAGATGGGTTTTTAGTTTTATTTTTAGCATTATCAGTGTGACGATTGGAGGCCTGGGCGCGTTCCCGTTCAGCAAAAACAAGTGTCCCCGAAAGCTGGTGTGCCAGTGCGTGCACGCGCTCTGTGTCTCTCTGTCTTTCTCTCTGTCTCTCTCTCTCTCGATAAGGAGTTGTGGGCAGGGAGGCCCTGACATTTCCACGGAGGACCTTGGGGAAGCTCCTCAGCGTGACCTTTCACAGAAATGTTTGCACACACTAGCGCAGGCCCACCGGTTCAGGTGAGTCACGGGGGTGGAAGGTCAGGGATTAAAGGGACGCCCTGGGCGGCTCCGACGAGGAGGAGGAGGCTGCTCAGGGAATTTGAGCTGTGGTGTCATTTTTCAGTACCACAGACAGCTCAGTGCGCCGGGCTGGGTGCCGCCGGCCATTGCACTAATTACTGGAACTTTGCACCACCTTCCACCCCCCCTTCCCCATAAAAGGGGGGAAATCACTTTTTAAATTTGCTCAGCATGCTGCCACGGAGTTGGATCCCGCGGGAACGGATATTCTGCTGAGTGCATGAGTTACAGACTAGGTTTGTTTGTTTTTTTTCCCTTCTTTTCCCAAAGTAACAAAGCCAAAGAAAAACGAGGGAGCGAATGAGTAAATTTCCTTTAAAAACAACCCCAACTTGAATAACTAACTGCCTGTGTGTCAGGACCTCCGAGCAGAGGCCGAGCACGGCTGGGGAGGGTTTGCCGGAGTCGGGGAGAGCGGCCTCCTCGCCGCTCCTCAAGGTCAGATGGGAAGGGCAGGAGCGAGGCTCCTGGCGACCTGTCTCGTGTCCTTGGCCGGAGGTGGCAGGCCTCTTGGTGATGGGTCTCGTCCGCACGCTCTTTAGGACGATGTGGATGCCGATGTCATGTCACCATTTTGGGTCCTTCGTGGGGCTCCGAGGTCCCGTGCTCCAAACCGGGAAGCCTGTCTGTGTGTTTTGGGCAATGATGTCATTATATAATTAACGTCAGCTTGGGGGGGGGGGTGATTGATTTTTCTCCTTTTCTTTTTTTTCTATTTTTAAAAGACTTTACAGTGGAGTGACACATACGCGATGCTTTCCAGTTACGTTGTTGTTGTTGTTTTCTGGAAGGGGACGATACAAATCTGTCACCCAAACATGAGACCTTTGACTCCTTTCCACCGGAACTTGGCGGGGGGCGCAGAGGAGGGAGGGCGGGGTGCCGGCTCTCCGGGGGGATCTGGGAAGCTCAGGGAACGCGTTCATTCTCCCACTGGAAGCAACGCAGATGCTTCCAGACCGGGCAGCAGACACCACGCATGCACAGTCCCCGTGCAGAGTGAGCAGCGTTGGAGGGTCTGGAGCCCACACTCGCACCTGACCGATGTCCAGCAGGAGGTGCTGGACCCTGGGAGAGGACAGCTCAGTAGCTCAGTGCTAGGACCGTGGCCTGGTGTGCCGGAGGCCACAGGTTCAAGCCCCAGCACGGGAAAAATGAGATACACACTCGTACCTGTACACACGTATGTATGCATGCATGCGTGTGCACAGATGTGAGTTTATGTCTGTGTGCATACACGTGTGCACATCTGTGTAGGGGTGTGTGTGTGTGCGTGTGCACTGAGCGTTTAGCCTTCAGGGTGAGTTTCTTTCCTGTGTCTCCG